CCATTTTCCTGCATGTATGAGCTCATTATGTTGTAGTTTGGAGAGAATTAATTTCTGCATTGATACAAGAGTTAAAAAATCATAACAAACTTATTCAAAACTACAAATGGTGAATGTTAGAAGCAGGTCTGGTTAGGAACATCCAGGAGCTTAACCATCATCTGCTTCATTACTTGAGAGCTGTGGGCTGGAGGCAGGTCTTCATGACCCTCCAAGGAATGCCCAGCTGCTGGATTCAGGCCTTCACAACTCAGCTGGTCCTGGTCCTTAAGGCAACTGCAGGCCCTGAGGCTGGGATTCATTTGGCTAAACACAGGGGCTGCTGGCATGCAGGGATCAGGTAGCCAGCCACCTGGCCCCTGCTGACACTCTGGAAGGGTCCAGGTCCTGTAGTCCCTATGTCACATCTGTGTGGATGTCTGGGATATCCCATGGCATTCCATAGGGCTGGACACCTAGATGTGGGCATCTTTAGATTGAAGAATTGAGCTTTAGCTGTCCACAGTGTGAGACTCCACTTGAGCTGGTCTACCCTTCAGAGTCCACAGAAAGAATGAAGCACTTCCTACATGTTGATTATCTCAGGCTGAAGATATATGATGTGAGTGATATGAATGCACCCTAAAGGCCTTTCCACTGACCAGGGGTAGGATTCAGTTGCTGTGCACTTAGTTATCTATGTTCTTGAACCTTCAACTGAGACATGAACATCTGAGGCTGAACCCCGTATCCTAGGGGTGCAGTTCAGTTGCCTAAAGATATGGCATCTGAGATGGCCTGATGTTCGCAAAATATGCATACAGGGCCGGCTGATGGGAGCCAAGGTCCACATGCCACTCGCACGTATTTCTGGAGCAGCTGGCAGAGGGTGCCCCTGGGCATCTCAAAAAGCATAACGTTTTTGCTTCCCTGGACACCAAGATCCACAAAAGGGCCTCAAGACACACCTTCCCTCTCAGCGTTCCCTTTGGCTCGCTGAAGGTTTGGCTAAACACTGTTCCTAAGCCCCTGCATTTGACATTGCCTTGCAACTGCCCTCAGTTGAGGCAGGGTCACACATGGTGGTTCAGTACAACAGAAGGAGCAAAACCTTCTTCAGCTAAGAGTTATGGGAAAAAAAAGCGAATAGATGCCACTTAATGAAGTAAAGCAGTTAGCAATCAATTACCGACTAATAACTCCAGTTTGAACCCTCACCTCAACTAGAAGAAATGCACAGCCATAGTTCCTCCTCCTGGGAACATATCCTGCCTTGGGTTAGTCTGGCACGCAACATACCTAGCCTAAGCGATGCCTCCACTTGCATGGACTGAAGCTCCATTAGCTCAAAGACTGAACCTGAGTTCAGCTGTGGCTCCCACCACTGAGCTAGTCTTCTGCTGAATCCAGTATCTCACTGAATAACTGCTTGCTGGAGGGGAAAACAAAGTCTTCCCCAAAAAATCACAACCTGGTGGTAAGCGCTCCTCAGTTCACCTCATACTTTCTTGCCCACAAGCAGAAATCAGCCAAATGCAAAAAAGAAAGGGTGATAACACGAATGCATTTTGACAAGGAGGTAACCAGCATTTCTGCTGTTTACTCTGGCATGTGCTAACAATATCACTCACTCCTTACTGGTACAGTTCAGTCACAACCAGTCTTGCCAACTGGTCAGGTAGATGATTAGCTGTGCAGGGACTGGTGGTGATGACAGCAGTAAGGGTTGTGCCAATCATTCCTGCCAGAGGAGAGCTCATTACAGGAGCAATTCCAGACAGACAGATGGAAAGAGAGGGCGGAGGGGAGGGAAGCAACAACTCCAAAATAAATTAAAAAAACCCAAACCACCCAAAACCACAACAACTACATTTGGAGCTGCTCTAGCTTAGCTGGTCTGTCAGTATACCTTCACTGCCTCCTGGAGAGTTAAAGGGCATAATCAACCTTCCTGTCAGGATGTCCCCATTCTCACTCACTAAGTCACCCTGTGGTACAAATGCAGGACAACATTCTCCGTGCTATGGGGGTTTGACCCAGGGCAGCAGCCCGTGCTCGACTAGAGACCCACAGAGAAGCCAGGCACTGTGGCATGGGGTCTGCCAGCCCCGGGCAGCTCTGAGATGCCATTGTCCACATGCCAGCCCTGGTTCTGGCCTTCTAGATGGTGATTATTAATTTTTTTAGCAGCAGGGAGCAGCATTTACTTGCCCGGATTTTTTTCATTTCCCTTGAAAAAAGATCCATGATTACTATTTTTTTGTTTTGTTTTGTTTTTTTAAATTCCAGGCACTTTAGGCCTGAACCTGAGGGGAGCTGAGCACAACTCTCCTGATGAAGCCCATGGACTGGCATGTGCTGGCATATGAGGGGAGGAGTAAAATCTTGACCCTCTTGAAATCAATGACAAAACTTGGTTTAAAGCAGTGGTAGGATTTTATACAGAATATTAGTCCCCACAGGCATTGTTTTGTTTTAAGAATCTCTGCTTGTTCCTGATCATGGGCTGCTTCCTCAGCTCTATTTTTCATGCCTCTTTCAGCCAAAGCCTCATTATATCTGAGACAGCCAAAGTGAAAGACCTACAGGGAGACACATGCCTACCTGTAAAATTTTCTCTTAAGAGGAGTCTGCATTTGGCAAAGGCGTAAGACCTTGCATTTATGCAAGTATTATAACTGAGATTAATTACATCTGAGATAATTTAAATTTCACAGTGATGCCTGGAAACGAGCAGCTACACGTAACCTAATCAGCCAGTCAGGTGCAGTGCCTCACCCAGGAAGCCAGAGCATCTTTTCCTGCAGAAATTCCTGTTCTGCTCCATTGCCTAGCTGTATGTGCAATGTCTTGTTAAAAATGACTTGGGTTACAGCTGGATTCTCTCTGGTTTCACTGGACACCATCGCTGCTGTACTTAAGCAGGTGCTTTAAAACGAAGGTGAGTGTTGCGTTGCAATGCATGGGAAATTTAACCATGGGGTATATTATATAACACTTAAATGGCAAACACTTAATGCAGAGCTGCAAATAGGGTTGCAATCCTTTACTGAAGAAGGTATTTTTCTTTGTCTGTATACAGCCTGCCAGCAATTTTCCAGGAACATCATCTACGGACATTTCTTTATCAGAAGAAACTCAGCCTCCATCTCAGTCCAGCTCCAGCTACGGTCTTCCCCCCAATGCTCCAGCCCTCTATACACCGACTTACTTCTTGCCTGGAGAAAAGCCTCCACCATATGCACCATAGAACAAATAATTTATTTGAGGTAGCTGGTAGGCGTTTGTTTTGTTTTTAAGAAACCTCTGGAAATTGTGCTGTGCAGGCACTAGACTTCCCAAGGAGCCCACCACAGAGTGTGTTACGGCCTTTTACCTGCATCTCACTGTGAGCAGAGCAGAACCCTGGACACGTAAGGGCAGGCACATCGCCAGTGGGGTGACCAGTCACCACCCAGTTTGCCTGCAGTCAAATGCAGTGTTGCTTTCTGGCTACCATAAGCATGAGATGTTTCCTTCTTGCTACACTGCAGAATGAATTTTCTTCAGGAGGAGAAATGACGAAAACACTCTGGATACGTGTTCTTCTGCTTTCATAAACCAATATAGAGGGGTTTTAGCCTGTGTTGTCTGAGTGGGTAGTCAGGAGCTCTCTGAGTCAATTATTTTAGGTAGGAAGAGACCAGGTGTTTGTTTGCTTGTAGTATTTATTTAATAACCCTTTTTGGTGAAAGTGGTGTACCAATAAAAAAAGTGTGGCAATTATTTTACAGTAAAATTGACTGTGTATATTTATACTGTACCTAAGGCTGTGTACATTTGTAAGGACAGGAAAACAAAAGAACAGAGGAAAAAGTATCCTGTCGCATAGCTCCCTCTTTCAAGTTTCAAACAGAAAGGTTAATTCTTTTGGGACTATTTTATCTGAACTTTGTGCCAGTCTAGTCTGCGTAGTAAAATGTCATGTCAGTGTACTAAAGATGCAATTTCTAGACAGGTATTTTAAGCTGCACTTCAGTGTTACTTTTGAGTCAAAAAAGGACCACAACTAAAACCACTCTATGGTAAACCTGAGTTACTTATTTTTAAAATGATCAGGACCTGATCCAGGCATTTTACAACTGAAAAAGAACAGATGAAGGGTCAGAATTCCTCCTTTTTATTTATTTATTTATTTATTTATTTTCTCCTATTGTATAGAGACAAAAATACATTGACAAGGCTATGCAGCGTTGACACTGACAGTAATAAAGTCTTGTCCCTGTTGTGTGCACCCTGACCTCTTGCTGTGCATCACATTAGAATCAACTGGGAATTAGAATTAGTTGGGATCCCTCTTGACACACGGCTGCCATATTTTGGGGCAGGAGGGGCTAGGCTACACCATCATGAAAAGCCATCAGACTGCTGATCCTTTCACTGCATTTTGCTCCTGCAGGAAGGGTGGTGGTGCTGCTTGCTCTATAGCTCTTACAGTCTAGACAGCAGTGAAGCTACAGAAATTTCCTGAAAGGCTAAAGAGCAAAGCAGGGGAAAGGAAGGTATTTCTCATTAACTTTTTAAGCAGCTGCTTCATATTATGAAAATACTAAAAAACCCTACGTAAACAAAACCAGCCTATTTGACAGTTTCCTTTGAAAGGAAGTGACACCATCAGACCAGCTGAAAACAGAAAAAAGAATGATCATCCTTTTACATAATACCTTCCACCTTTCAGTACTAATACACAGAAGATCTGAGGTTAATTTATATGGACCATAAAAGCCATATTTTGTTCCAATTAAGAAGGTTTTTCTGAGATGCAAAGTTTTAGGCCAGTAATGTTAACACCAGTGACAAGGTGCCTTACGTGTATTGTTGACAAGATGAGTGACATGAACCTGGTTGAGAGAAACAGAAGTCAAAGAGGAGACCATTATTTTTCTTTTAAACATTAATTTAACGCATCCAAAATGCTTAGTTCTTGTGCAAATGCATGCTGTGAAGAGTGCAATCGCCCTGATCATGAAATAAGTGGAACTTCACATTTACTTCTTTTTAATTGCTATGAATACTACCAGGTGAACCACCTGGGTTCATTCTGGGGACTCAAAGCCCAGAACAGACCTGCTCCCTTTGAGCTGAGCACCTAGACTGCTAACAGAACAAAAGTGAAATCAATGTTTCTCTTAGGCTGAAGCACAGTGACTGAGGAGGAATGAAGGGATGCTTATCACTTCTTTCCTCTTTTCGATGTTATATAGAAGCAGCTACCTCTTCCTCCAGCATGGTACTGCTGTAAGGTTAAAAGACAATTAAAGACAATCCAGCTTGACACAAAAGAACCCCCGTTCTCTGTCATTCTCCAGATTTAAAAATTCTGGCTTTCTCTTCTAAACCACATTTTGGGTTGGGGTGCATTGCGGTCTATGCAAAATATCTTCACATACATGCACACACAGACAAAGTCCTGGAGAAATTTTTGCTCTAAATTAGATTGGTTTAGAAAATGCCATCATATTCTTGTTCACGTAACATTGAGTCTGAAACTGCAGAGTACCATACTGTACCGCAGGATTCACATTTCCAGGATCCAAAATAATTCTGGCCTCATAAATAGTTCCACTTACATTAACACAAACAACAACACATGTTTGTGATTGATTTGTGCCACACGGTAGTCTTTGGGAATTACCACAGAGATTATACAAAAATGCCAGACTAAGGCTATTTTGCTAACGTGTTTCCTTTGAAAAGAACAAAGTAAAACAGGGTTTAAAAAAGAGGTGCCTTCCAAGTTTGTACTGTTTTCATTAGAGCTACTCCAAGTTAAAATGATGGGAGATGTAGTTTGGTAAAGGACTAAAATAACCATGAAAAAACACACAGAAAACAAAACACTGCAGTATGGAAGTGCTATTAACTACAGTATCTTCAGGATTCCCTTCTCTCACTGGAGATACTAACTACTGTTTCTTAGGTTCTCCATCACATCACAAATTGATCCAGAGTCATCAACTCTTAACAGAAAGCACACTCAGGAATAATGTGGTTTCCCTTGCTCTATTAAAAAAAGCAAAACCGTAGAACTACTGGGGTTTGCTATCCGTGAACACTCCGCCAATAAGTTATTACTGTCTAGTGAACAAGCATCCTTTCAAACTTGCATCTGATCACACCTGAGTGTAAAGAGTCTTTTGACAGGTCCTTCTGTTAAGTGTAACTGTGTAGGCTGGCTCAAAGTGATAAAGCTCTGGTCTTTTCTGCCCTACTGCAGCACTGCTGACTGATTTGGTCACAATATGGAGCTGTCTAATAGAGTACCTTCCTCTCCTCTGGATCCCTACCAGGAGGTATGTTTGGGACAGTCTTCCCCCTCTTCCATCCTTTCCTCTGGGACAGTTACATCTTGGTCACAAGTGTTGTCACACATGTGGATTATTGGGCTAATCTGTCATCTCCGTATTTGATTAGACAAAACATGACATAGAATGACCAGGAACAATTTATAAAAGACCTTGCAGAATTAGACCTTTTCCACATTAACCCTCTGAAGCACGGGGTAACTTAGCCACCCAGTGTTCGGATTTCCACCACAGCATATACCTGTCTTTCTCCGTTCATTAATCTGATGCGAGAAAAGGACCACATAAAGCAAGATTTAAGTGACTCAAAGCAGGCTAGGCAAAGCCCACCCCAGCTTCACAAGGACAGCTTAAAAGTTGAATGCACTTTATGACTCTAAACCTCTCCTGAGTAAACCCCCACCCACATTCTCACCACACTGCAATTCAGCCTGGCTAACTCTCACAGTCTCAAGCCTCTCTGCTCCGAATAGGCTCACAGCGAATGAGCCAACCTAAAAATTAAGCAGCAGAAATATGTCATCGCCACATAATATTCCCCAATTCTTGACACCTCATCATTTGCTTCAGCGGTTACTGACACAAAAGCTATATGGCTTTCAACTTATTGAGTCTTTTCTTGCCCTGCTGACCCAACTTTGGTTTCCATTTTCTGTTGACCAAGACTTTTTCTAAAGGTCACAACTGCGTCTTCTATCTGTGGTACCAGAAAGAGAAACTCTAGAGGTAAGAACAGCAGCAACGATTTGCTCTCCAGCCCAGAAGATACATACTACTGACACAGGCACATAAAAAAACCCACCTCCAAACAAAAAAAAACAAACCAACCAACCAAAACCCCCCCCACTAGCAGAATCTCCACATCAGGCATAGCCTGAGGCCTTCTCTCCAAATAACAGAATATAGAATAATCTCAGTACAGGTAAATTAAAAACTTGTATGTAAATATTTTATTCTCTCATATTTTGCAAATCAGAAAGCAGTGTTTGGTAATAAAAAATAATACAGAATTATTATTTTTCTTCCAGTCCACACTCATATATTACCAGGTTTTCCACATTACAGATAAAACTGTCTCTTACAGTCGAAAGATAACATTCACTTCCGGTATATTCTGTACTTCTGGCTTATTTAATATTAGTCTTCTGAACTATTTACAAATATATTACAACCTTTAAACCTCAAAGCAAAGGAGTATTTCAATAATCAATGTGACATAAGGATCAGTAGCTCCTACGTAACTTCAGTGTTTAAGAGAAACTATACACGCAGTGCGGTAGGTCTGAATAATTTATATCTTTAAAAAAAAAGAAAAGCATTGAAAGTTTCTGAGTATAAAACTTTCGCATTGCAGTGGTACCTACTGACCCGCCTCAACTGGAGGACAGGAATGTGAGGTGATGTCACTGTGCTTGTAGAGAGCCTCGTCTAAGTCCAGTGCCTTGTTGCTCAGCTTGATGGTCATGCAGCCGTGGTAGGACGCGGTGACCGGAGTGGAAGTGACAGGAACTTCTGTGTGAAAGGGGAGACAAACATCTCTGATGGCTGGTTTTGAATAAATATCTGTCCTGCCTATGTTCAGATGACTATCACTTCAAATGAATTGAAGCTCTCCTCTCCTCCAGTCTGGGGTTTCTACCTCCCTCCCACCCCCCTCTTGCCAGAAGGCAAGAGCACAATCCCAGAGCGAGGAAAACGCCATCTGCTCTCGTGCACAGAAGCCCTTCTCCCAGGCTGAACCCTTCCTCAGCTGCTCTGTGTCTCTGTAAGACCTCCAGTCCTGATGAAAATATGTGCTGCACAGCAGCAAGGCTTCACTCCAGTTGCACACTGTGTTCACGCTGCTTTCCATCCCAATGTTTTCCCCTCCTCCATCTCTGGACCCTCTCCTTTGTCATTAGTGGAG